ATTTTACCATGTATGTCATTTCCTTTAGCCATCTAGAAAATCATAGACCGCATCGTTTTGGTTTGAAAATAAGGACACTTTCAATGATAGAAACAAATTGAGCATCAATAACGAAATAGCTCTTTCATTCTACTATAAAGTTGCTAATTTTTAGTTAACGTGTTGGTTTCTTTACCGATGACATATAATTTTCACTTTTCCTTGTCTAATTGCTTTTTAACAACTTTACGGGCCTTGATGCGATTATAACCACAGTTACCACCATGGGGGTGCCATGGTTTAAGGTTTCAATACTTTTGTACATCAGTCATACAGTTTCGTTGAAAAATATGAGCTTTTTCCCATGACAACCCATTTCCTTGGGATTCAGTAGGATCCCGCAAAACTGTATTATCGTGTTACGGGACGGGACACGTATACACTAAACGGGATGCTGCAAATTATAGGATGTCTCCGTAGCAAAGAACCCTTAGATTTTGGTGTTTCATTCATTTTATTTGGAAGGCACTTACTACCGCACGCCTCTAACGCCCTTATTCACAACCGATGCTTGCTTAAGTGAAGCAGCAAATCGAACGCACAGCGTTGAATAGAGCTCTGTTATTGGTTCGCGTGTCACCCTGTGCGTCCACGCGCACTGTGAGAACTCATAGTAATGTTTGTAAATACGGGCGTAAGTGTGCGTAGCGTTTGAATCATTGAGTGATCTCACTAAGACAGTTTACTAAATTATGATATTATAAAGACAAATGAAGTTCTAAATTAAGCTATCCGCTTTTGTCAGACTTAGAATTTAGATATGAGTCTTTCATTCATTAAGTGAACTGATGGATTAGTGTGGTCTCAGGTTCGATTCCTACACAACATAATTGTGTCTTTTGAAGAAAGTTTTTTGACATCAGTAATTTAATTACGTTTATACGATAATTAATTTTACTATCTTAATAATGTTTTCTCAGTGTAATAATTATGATAAAAGACAGAATAATTTATTTTATATATAATAGCTTCTGTACCTAAACAGTTTGAAGACAAGAACCGTCTAAGTGAAAAACTCACAAATTCCGAATTCGTGTTAATAAAAAAACTCGTTAACAGTTTCCAAAGAGGAAAAACATTGGAAAATTATTAAAATATTTCCTCGGAGGAGTTGGACAGCCTTTGTGCCTTCTGAGAATTTTTCACCTCCGACTTTCAAAGTTTAATATCAAGTTAGAAACTCTCTCCACCTGACGTTTTTTATCTTTAGCAAGAAACATTCTTATTTTAATAATTATTTTAATACAATAATAATAGAAAAGTAAGTAAAAGTAGACATTGATGTCTACCTACAGGTTTTTCAATGTAGATTGTGTTCTTTTAAAATTAGTTTTAAGTTGTTTTGTTCACATTTTGGATGTTTCTATTCGAAATAATGCAGTTATTTAAATTTTGGTTCCAGGTTGCAGAGTTTGGAGAGGCATATACACAGCAATTGAAGCACAAAGATTGTAGCAAAATTTAGCCAATTTCAATTAAAAGATATTTTGAGTAATTATTTATAGCTTAAAAACGCTATTAAAATTTAGTAGTCCTTGGAAAACTTTGTTTGCAACAAAAATCGATTGTTTTGTAGTTTTTGATTGACAAAAAGCAGTTTATTGTTTAAAGTAAGAACCTATTCCTAAACTTCAAATGCCCCTCTTTTGTTTGTTACTAACTGGGGTTAATTTGGTTTCTACTAACGTCAATTACCAGTTGCTTAAACATATAATTTTTATAGATTAAGTAGGTATATCTATAAAACTCATCAAGTTTATTGGAAAAATACAAAAAACAAACAATGGCTTTAGAAAATTCTCATTTGAAATGACCTTTTTAAGTACGAAAACAAAATAAGAAGCCCCAACTTTGGGTAATGTTTTTTGGCCTATTGTCATGCTAAGGATTGATTGGTTTTTCAGGGGCCCTGCTTTGGGAATAAACTTCTTTGTAAAATGACTTTGTATTGTTCTTTTTAGCTTCTCTTTTCTTTAAACACTGACGAGGACAAAAGAAAAACATTTTTCAAAGTAATTTTTTCGGAGTACAATAATACTATAGACATTTATTTATTTGTTTTTATTTTAATGTAAGATTGTAAGTATTGCTGTTTTTTTAAAGTGGTATTATTCAAAATAAAAAGACAAAGATAGTGAGGAGGGCGCCACTTCTGCCCAAAAATGTCAAATCTGAACAATTTTCAAAATTTTTCGTAGTTCCATTTTTCACCGCGTTCACTTATATCTTTGAATTCAGCTTTATGCCTCACTCTGTGGTTAGGCGGAATTATTCAAGCACTAAATAGAGCCCGACCGGTATTTTTCCCCGCCGAAGGCTTACTTATATGTAATTATGTCGTTGAGGGCGGAATATACGAGTATAGTGGCGAGTGGGGATTTCTATAAAATTTCGAGTTATACCTTTTTACGTGTTAGCCTGTTTTGTTTCCAAAACTTTTAATATTTGATAATTTTTCACTAAATTTGAAAAAATAAGTTTTTTTGTCAATTTTATTTTATTTTGAAAACAGATAAATAGCGTTTTAAATAAACAAATTAAATTCCTCATACTTTAAATACCAATTAGTTCAAGGAAACACCTAAACCGCAATGTTATTAATAGTTTTATAACAACATTATTATTAATTTGTATTTGTTATTGTTGTGGCTTATTTTTACACAAGTGCCCACTGAAACTTTGTTTCATAACTATTAATTTAATAATCCATCTACAAAACACCTAAACATTGTTCCGTATCGGTTAATTTTAAAATTAGTCGGTATTCGTGCTACGTCTTTCGACACGTCATTTGTGTGACAAGCGAGGTGCCAATTATGACAATTAAAAAACTCATTTACGTCCTTGTACGCAACGCCCGACAATCGTCGCCTGACAGCGATACATTTTTAATAACGGCTCCCCACTCGCGTATTCCTTTGCCTAGACAAAAAACGTGGGAAAAACAACAGGTTCGCTTTGTAACTTTGTAGTTCCAATTTCAAATTAATAATGCACTTTAAATACTGGCTGGTTCCGATTCAAAAGTTATAAACTGGTTACGTTAAAAATTTTGAAATTCGAATGCGGGAAATGAAGTTTGATTTTCATTTGGCGGATTTTTGTTTTATTTGAATTCAAATTTAGAACGCCAGGTGCTATCAAGGTTGACGTTGACGGCCAAGAACGTTGCGGCCGGTACTATTCTTAATAAAATTCGTTTATGGACCGTTTTAATACTCTATAGATGTACGCAAGGAAACATCATCAAAATCATTTTAAATCTACAGGAAAAATCTTGATTCGCTCGCAAAACAATAACTTCCATTCGCGAATTAATTAAGTCACTCATAATTGTCTTTGCTATAATTATAAATTATAGGTACATAGACTTGTTAAACAGGTAAATGACTCCACAACATCGACAAAACTAAACCTACGCCCACTAAGACAATAGTAGGAAGGTTTTTAATTATCTCCTCCCATGGCTAGCTCAAAATGGGTATTAGAAAAACTGGCAGCTGATAGAAAAAGAAAACGTATATCATAATTCCAAATTCAATTTCGACGTTTCCAATCTCGATCTTTTTAAAAAAATATCAAAGAACCGTATGAATTGGTAATTAACTTTTCTCATTTGCTCAAACTTAATTACTCATTCAAACTCTAAAATTCGCACCTGGTCTTACAAAACAAGAGAACACTAAAACAGAAGTAAACAGAACTAATCAAATAAAGTACTCATAATAATCCCACTCCTATTTAAAATAGCTAATAACTATTCTAAAAATTCACAAAAGAACGCCGAGTTTATAGCGAGGTCGTCATTGGCGAACGGGAACGTGGAAAAACACGTGAATTTTTTTTTCTAAGCCACGTAGTGTACGTTGCGGCCTGCCCACCGTGCGATTGGCCGGTGCCGCGCCGGGCGGCCATTGGCCGGATTTTTTTCCCGCTTTTCCACGCTCATTTTTTCCCGTAGAAAACCTCGGCCAATCGCAGACACGTAGTTTTTTAATTGCTAAAGTTTAGCGCGTTGGGAGTTACGTTGGATAGTTGTCGGACGTTGTTAGGGTTCAATTGGAAGTTAGTTTTTGTGTTATTCGGGTTGTATTGATGTGTTTCGTTTTAGTTTTGCGTTATTGCTTAAATGGAAAATTGAGATAACATAGCTTTTAATCCGTTTAGACACTATCAGATCTATTTCGTTGCTTTTTCAGTAACATGATACATATATTATGTTGAAAAAAAAAACAAAGCAAGGGAAAAGATGTCATTTAGACAAAAACTGGCTGAATTAAGAACGTAAACTTTTTAAGAACAAACCAAAGAGGTTTCACCGTCTGCATCTTGACAAATGCAACTAAAAAAGAAATCAAAGTCGTTCCAGAAGATTTTGCGCGGGAACGCGTCGCGTCAATGGCGTACGGATTTAAATTTGGAACGTGCGTTTATGAGTTTCCAGTTTATTTTAACGGCTGCATACTTGATGCGTTTTATTCAATTACAAGACGAATGCGCGGCGATGACATGCGTTCGGTCTGCTGGATTAATATACTTTTTATTGGCGGTTTCCGATGAAATATACGAATAACTGTTTGAATTTATTCTCCAGTACACACTCGTGTTATTGCATATCTATCTGCCTTTAAGTACATAGGAAGTGGACTGCACAAAAAGTTTGTAATTATAGACAATGCCCTGTGTCATATTTGGGTACATTAGACTACTTGTAGAGCTATAGAACAGATTTTTATGATTTCACTGTTATTAATTTATCTATAGGTACTTCTCTGAGTTGACATTTATGCATCCAGTCACATCTAACTTTGCTATGCAATCATTTAAAATAAGTCACAGATGTGAACTTTTCTTTTGTTTTTGAACATTAAAAGTATTATTAAGACAGGTAGGTTTTTTACTGCAATCGCACCTGAAGTTAAGTGAGATGCAGTCTTACAACGAACTTATTCTACACTAACCTGTATGCAGCCTCGTGTGTTGTTGGACGTGGCTCAGCTGTTTGAACCTCCGATCGCAGTAACTGCACTTGTATGGCTTCTCCCCAGTATGGACCCTGATGTGCTGCACGAGCTGGTGGTTGGAGCTGAACGACTTCAAGCACTGCTGGCATTGGTGCGGCTTCACTTCACCGCCCAACCCTCGCTGAAGTTCGCGCGCGTGCATTTGCATGGCGTTCTTGTGCATGAAGATCTGAAACGGGATGACAGTTGAAGAACGCGTTCGAATTTTGAAGTGTTGTGGACTGTACTTGGGGATCTGTCATTTGAAGATTTGAATTTTTTGTTGAAATTCTTTGTTGGCGATAGTCATTTGTAAAATTTGACATGGATACTGATTAGATTTGAATTTGGAAGAGTTTCTTTTTTTGATAATGAATAATGAGTCGGATTTAAATTTCGAAGCTTCGATGGTTCTTTTTGAATTTGAATTTTGCTATAAAGGGTTACGTAGCTGGGTTGCTCCATCTTACTTTAAGTTTAACAAACTTCATAAATATGTCAAACTCCTTACAAAAAACACCCGTTATCGTTATAGTAACGGCTAAAGTTAGGTAGTGCAACTCAGCCTTAGAGGGATCAATGTTATCATTTTAAAAGAAATTTCGAGATACTTTAATACAAATAAGATAGTTGGGTTGGGTCACTTTTATAAAACGTAGTTGTTAGTAAAGATACAATTAAGACGGTTACAGAGGTACCAAACAGAAGGTGGTATTTATAGAATCGATTGTTTTTCCCGAATTAGACGAAGGAAAGGCGTTTCCCTGAATCTCACGAAGGCCATTGTTTTCTAATATCCCAGTTCTTGGAAAAAAAATGTTGAAAAATACAACCACTGTGGGTGGACGAGTTGTAGGCGGTTTTTGCGTCATTCATGGTGTTTGAAAAAGATATATTGTGTAACAAAACGAGCCTACCTATTGATATGATTTTCAAACGAATCAAATCAAATTAAATAATTTATTCAATACTTAACTTAGGCCTTTTCCAGGGCGCTTATAAATATTGTTCTCATTTTCATAACTAAAATACTGATTCAGTGTACTGATAAAGCATAAGTTATCTAAACATTAACTATTTGAAAATTGAACCCAAAAAAATAAATTAAATACAGCAAGTTTGTTTTAAAATTCTAACTTAAAGATCTTTCACTAATGTTCAAATTAATTTTTACTCCATTAATGTTATATAAAACAATCCTGTCTCATTTTTTTCTTTCTCGCAATATTATTTCAAAAGGGACATTATTAAATTCCATTATTAAAAATATTCAAAAACATGACAAGAGAGAACACGCTGTATAAATCTAGCATACAGCATGTTCTTCACGTTAGGTTACCGTCATCTCTAAAGAAATGGCGTCAGAGAGGAAAGTTATATGGCTCTAAGATAATTTATGGCAACACTTATGATGCTTGGATAATGCAAGATTTGATTTCAGTGTTGCTATTGTTATAAATATGGTTTTATAATAGTACTAGCGGCCGCCCGCGACTTCGTACGCGTGGATCCCATTTTGCCCCCTTAGGGGTGGAGTTTCGTAAAATCCGTTCTTAGTGAGCACCTACGTTCTAAAAGGCACCCCTATGCAAAATTTGAGACTCCTAAGTATCACTTGTAGTTTCTGAGATTTCGTGACGAGTGAGTAATTCAGTCAGTGAGCTTTCGCTTTTATATTTATGTATAGAGTAATAGAATGGGGCCAATTTTTGGAAGAAAAATATTTAAAAATTCAATGCAGTGACTTGGCCCGTGGACCAATCTAAAACTTTGCCAAGTCACTGAAAGACTAGTCGCACTGTTGTACTTGTCAATTTTATTCGGTCCTTCAAAATCCGTCAAGTCCGTCTCAAAACGTCTAATTCTAAAGAGCCTTTATGAGGTCGTCGGTCAATGTACTCAGTGGAATATAAAGAGGCCTAGTATATTTAAGCACTAAAACTATGCCAAAGTTTTATCAATACAGTCGTCATATAAAATGTTTTATCTCGCCAATCTCACTGTATACTTGCTCGTGTATTTATTGAAAACCCTTCGTTCTGCGATCGCAAAGAAACGACTTCAAACACGCGAGGGTACAGTTGCGGACAAGGAAAGTGGTCAAGAACTTTATTTCTATTTGATGGAATTTGGTTAGGAAAAGAAGCAGCTGAAAGATGTTTATTTCTGCACAAAGACTAGGTAATTGGACTGTTTACTTTTGTTGTGTTATAGTGCAATAAATTAGTTAACTAGATTTTAGTTCTTAAATATTTATTATTTTATACAGATGTTATTAATACGTACAGATGCCACTCAGCTTCAGTAGGTACCTATCCTACTTAGTTACGAAGGTAAAATATACTTAAATTATGTATTAAGAATTTACCTCAAAAAGTAAATCCGCTCTTGGAGGATACTCCCACATCTTGGATGAAAAAGCTCAAAAAACACCACAAACGCTTAACAACAACAAGCTTCCTTGTGAAGCAACAGGATGATACTGATAGGAATATTCATTTTTGCTCCCGTTTTCAGGAAGGAAAACATTGAAAAACAACTTAGTTTTGTTCGAAAAATATCAATTATTTTATTTGTGTCGTTGTTTTATTTCAAACAACTTATTTCCTTGTTTATTACATATTTTTTATCTCATTAGTTATCCACTTTTTTTTCGCAGATAAAATGCTTATTTTCCGCTTTGTATGTTGCGTAATGGTAGTCATTTCTATATTAAGCTTCAGTATTGAATTTTATTACTTTATTAACTGGCATTTTGTAAATCAGATGGAAATCGCTTAGTTGCTACATTAATTACTAATTTAAGTAACTCTGCCCTCTCACGACTTCTTACAAATTAAAAATCGATTTCCTAATTAGGACTACTTACAAAGTTTTCGAGTCGAGAGTCGATAAATACTTTAAAAAAAATTAGACTACAAAAGTCTTTGATTGTTTATTATTTCTCTAGTTTCATTGTGAATATTTTTTTATATGAATAAACTGAAAAACCAAACGTGAAGGAAAACATAAACATAATGATATTAAGTCGTTATAATTAAAATTTGTGAATCATTTTTATAGGTAATTGTTAAAAACCTACATAAAAATATATTCCGGGAAAATGTTAGGTAAACCTGATTATTTTTATATGCATCTGTGTTTTTCCTTTACGAGTGAACACTTTTATTCCGTACCTACTTTAGCTTAAAAATAACTTGCAAAAAAAAATCTGTAAATGGTAATTTTATTAATAACATGATGTCAAATACATAATAATGCATGGATATTGATTCTTTATGATTTATAGGAAATAAAAGGCTTTATTATATTTGTATCTCTCCTGTGGATAAGCACGGCGCGGACGCCGGTAATTTTGGAAGGCGTTCATGAGGATACAGATCCAAAACGAAAATAATAATTATAAAGTAATTTTGTTACAAAATTATGTGTAGTACCATTTTCTCTGCTCGCGAGTGTAGCCCTTTCACGCGTGTTAGAAAGTGGAACTAGACGGTTTGATCACGCAACTAAGAAATTGCAAAGAATTTATGCCCGATGCGGCTACGGTCTAAAGTTCGACTCCCGGAAGGGCAGCCACGAATTTGATATCTAGCAATTTGAGAAGCCAGTACTGTAATGTCTTTCGAACATGATACTTATTGTGGTTTCATTTTTGCAATTTCTGTACGAATGAAATGTATGGGAATTAGGCTTCTGTAAGTTGTGTAATTTTGTTCGTGGGGTGTTTCGATTTGATTGTTTTTGTGAACATTGTGTTGGCAATTTAAAAGCACTTTTTAAAAGTGTACTAGCAAAAAATAAATGAGTTTTATGATAGTTACTGAAAAGCTAATTGTCCAATTCAATGGCAGTAGCTTTTAGTTTCTTTAATAGCATTAACTGAAAATAAAATATCTTACAGGTCCAATAAAAAACATTATAAGAAAATATCCCAACTATTTGAAGAACAAAATTTGTTTTTGTATAATACTGGCAAGATTTTTTTCGTTTACACCAGTAAAAAAACACTAAAGAGGTTTACATTCCAGCCATTTGAATAAAGAACAAAAAATCTGTTCCATGACATAATATTTTGAGTTCACAAACCGAGGGCGGCCTGGAAAGCGGAAAGTCGCAGTGTCCAATAAAAAACAAAAAGAGTGACGTTCAACCGTCCCGCGGTAAGCGACACTGAATAAAACGATCGCGCCCGTAGGGGTGGCGGGATTCTTAAAAAAATTTTTTTTGCTGAAAATAGGATTTCTTTTTGTAAAAAAATATTTGTCAAGAATGATTAGGACTAACGCATTTTAGAAATTAATTTATCCTACATATAATATTATAAATGCGAAAGTTTGGATGTCTGAATGTCTGGAGTTTGTTACTCTTTCAAGCAAAAACTACTGAACGGATTTTGATGAAACTTTACAGTATTGTTGTTTATAATCCAGAATAACATATAGGCTATTATTTATGACGATCTGTGTCACGCGGATGAAGCCGCGGGCAAAAGCTAGTGACCAATAAATTAATCACACAATCCATATTTAATTTATTGGAGGTACAAATTTACAAATTACTCATATTCTTTGTTTATTAAAATGTTTAATAAAATTTTGTGATAAGTTATTGATAGCAAAATAAGTCAATAACAAATATACGTACCTAATGGTACGATTAAATAATAACCATTATTAGTTTAAATTACTAGTTGATAAAGTAGGATTGATTATTTTTATTTATAACCATTACAGGAAAAATATAAAAAATACGGAAATAATTATGTAAATTGTACTGTTTTATTAAAATTTTGCCAGTAGTTTTTCTAAAATTAAACTCTGGGGAATTGTATTCTAATATAAAATATATTTGTATATTATGGCCAATTAATAATATTTTCGCTATCATAGAAATGATAAATGTTGACGAATAAGGATGTTCAAATTAATGTTAGAATAAATTATAAACATTTCCTTTATAAAGCAAATTATTTTGCATAAATAATAATATATGCTCAATATACATCATTTCAAATTATATGAAATATTTCATAATTTCATGACTTTATTTAAATTAATAATGATAATAATAACAGTTTTCGAAATCGATTGAATTATTAGTCCTACTAAGGCTTATTTAAAACTGCTTAATTACAACCCAAAACCTAATTAATAAAATATTAATCCTGCGCAACACAGCAATCTTTAA